AACACATTTGAAGATGGTTATCAGGTCCCTCCCTCCCCACCCCTGTCGTCTTTTCTCAGGACTAAACATGCCCAGTTTTTTAAACTTTTCCTCATAGGTTAGGTTTCCTAAACCTTTTATCATTTTTGTTGCTGTCCTCTGGACTCTAGCCAACTTATCCACATCTTTCCTGAAGTGAGGCACCCAGAATTGGACACAGTACTCCAGCTGAGGCCTCACCAACGCCAAGTAGAGTGGGACAGTTACCACCCATGTCCTACATACAACACTCCTCTTAATACAGTCCAGACTGATATTAGCCTTTTTTGTAACTGTTGACTCATTTTCAATTTGTGATCCACTATAACCCCAGGATCCTTTTCAGCAGTACCATCTAGCCAGTTATTCCCTGTTTTGTAGTTGCGCCTTTGATTTTTCCTTCCTAATTGTAGTATTTTGCACTTGTCTTTATTAAATTTTATTTTGTTTATTTCAGACTAATTCTCTAATTTGTCAAAGTTGTTTTGAATTCTAATCCTGACTTCCAAAGTGCTTGTAACCCCACCCAGCTTGGTGTCATCCGCAAATTTTATAAGCAGTCTTTCAACTCCATTATCCAAGTCCTTAATGAAAATATTGAGTAGTACTGGATCTCTGCAGGATCATCCTAGATACAGCTTCCCAGTTTGACAGTGAATCACTGGTAACCACTCTTTGAGTATAATCTTTACCCATTTGTGCATCCACCTTACAGTAATTTCATCTAGATCTTATTTCCCTTGTTTGTGTTATGACCCACAGGTCTCAAATGTGGGTCTGGAGAGTTTCTAGGAGCAGGCAGCAGTGATACTCCCCAACTCTCCATCTGGAAGCCTGCTGACACTTGCTTACCTGGGACCCACGAAGCCGAACACCAGTTTGATGCTCTGCCGCTGCAGTCCTATTGGCGGAGTCCCAGAGCAACTGATTGGCCTGTTGGCCCTACTTAAGCCAGCAGCAGGAACAGGAAGCTGTCTGTACAAGTGAGCTTCACCCTTTCCTGGGCTGAATGACTTCCTGCTCCTCTGGCTTGATTTCCTGGTATCTGATTTGTGGTTCTGATCTCCTGGTATGCTGACTCCAGTCTTGTGACTGTGGACTCTGTTTCTGACTGCTAGGTCTGGCTACCCATGATCTGTGATAGTTTGCTCATGAGAATGTCACATGGAACTGTGTTGAAAGCTTTACTAAAATCAAGATATCACATCTACTGCCTCTTCTCTATCCACTAGGCCAGTAACCCTGTCAAAGAAGGAAATTAAATTGGCTTGGCATGATATGTTCTTGACAAAACCATGCTGGTTATTTCTTATAACCCTATCATCCTCTAAGTGCTTACAAATTGATTGCTAAATAGTTTGTTACAGTATCTTTCCAGGTACTGAAGTTTGACTGATCTATAATTCCCTGGGTCCTTTTTCTCCCCCTTTTCTCCCCTTAACTTTTAAAGATAAGTACTAAGTTTTCCCTTCTCTAGTTCTCTGGGACCTAACCTGTCCTCCAGGACTTCTTGAACTTAATTGCTAATGGTTCCAAGATTGCTTCAGCCAGTTCCTTAAGTATCCCTAAATATCAAACATAACATTCTGAGAGAATATGGATTGTATATCAAGGGAGCCAGGGCTAAACTGTTTTCAATAGCAGATTCTTCACTAACACATGAAACTGATCTCAGCCTGAGCTTAGCACCTTTCAGAAAAGGCACGTCTATTTATCCAGCTTTTCTTTCTACGGATACCTAGTCTACTGACGATATTTTTCCTATCTCTATCCTTTTAAAGCCATGATGCTTACGGGAGTCATTGTGTATTAGTTCCCTATAAATGGAAACTGGTTTCGCCTTAGTCTCAACTATATACATTGAACCCAGATACTACAGTCAGTTCCACACAAACGCCTGTAATAAATAAATAAATAAATAACGTATTTAGCTCAGGCTTTGTATATTCCTTTTATTTCTATAGGCTGTATAATGCTATGAATGAAAGTGTGACTGTATTGTACAGTATCTGCTGTTTGTCTTTGTGTGCATACAAATCATTTCAGAGACGGTACAAATCCCAGTACTGCACAGACCTCCCCTGTGCTACACTTTCCCCACAGACATATAATAGTCTTTAAAATATTGTTTATTTCAACCATTGAAAAAGAAATTACACAAATCCCTTTGTGGGCATTATATTTGACCTCTGACACATGCATTAGGCTGTCAGCTTGGAAGAGGCCCGCATTCTAAAGACTGAAGGATTATAATCTATTGCTAAGTATTTGTGGGAGTACTCTTGTGATTATAAAAGTCTCTTCACTCACTCTTAGGCTGGGTGCCAGAACTACTGAGCTTTGCTTTGTGGGTCTCTCAGCCTGAGCATTCACAAGTGAAACTCACAGCTATTATAAAACCCAGTCAGCTCGCTAGCTGAACACTCTTAACCTCATAGTTGTCTACACAAAGGGTGTTTCATACTGTGAAACAAAGAACCCTTAGATTGTTCCATTTTACATATTCGACTGTTCCATGTTAAGTTCACACCAAAAGGAAGAAACATTCTTAATTTTAATAAAATACAGTGGGTAAAATTCAGCTCTTATTAAAGTCCATGTGAGTTTTGACATTGATTTCAACAGATCTAGGATTCCATCCACTATCTCACATTAATTTAATAGTTATTTTAGCTATTTAAAGTCAAGTAATTTATAATAGACATATTACATATGCCCCTTTACACTGGATATGTTTTATGAGGCTGGAAGATCAGGGGTTAATCCTGGCCCTATTGAAGTCAATAGCAAAACTCCCATTAACTTCGGTAAGGCCAGGATTTCACCCCTTGTTTCTATTCCTGGAATTGCAACAAATTTCCTATGGCAACTTGTGCAAGTCATGTAAGAACTTGGTTCCTCAGTCTCCTCATCTGTAAAATGGAGATAATACTGCTGTATCCCCTAGACAGAAAAGAAGACAAATAATTTTGTTAGAAAGATTATTAGAGAGAAGTTAGTATTGCTGTCAGAAATCAACCATATCCAAGGAAATTAGAAAGATAAATTCAGGGCCTTAACATGTCACTTGCCAGTCTAGTATACACCAGGCCTTCAGGACAATAAATAAACAGAATAAGATCAGCATCTATAATCACCCTATACAAAACACCTTTATACCAGAATAAGGCTTGGTCTATGCCTAAAAAAAATTCGCCCCCAACCAACATAACCATACCAGCAAAACTATCAGGATAGATGCAGTTATACTGACAACACAGTCCTTTTGCCATCATAGCTTACTTTATTCAGGGAACTGGTATAAGGTATGCTGGCAAGAAGGCTCTTTTGCAGTAGGGTTGCTGATATTGGTTGGACATATTCCTGCAGGTTTCATCACATGACATAACCTTTAATTCCTGGAGACTCCAGAACTATCCTGGAAGGTTGGCAAACCTAATTTTCCAGGTATGTGCAGCATCTCCACTGTGAAAGTTTCCGGGTATGGCTATACTAGGAAACCCTTTTTAGTGTAGACAAGGCCTGAGCGTCTCCACATAGAGGGGGCTGCACCGCTTTAACTGTACCAGTAGAATTAAAACGGGACAACTTCTGGGTATCCCACAAAGCTATTCCACTCACCCAGGACTACAACTCCCATGATGCCCGTGGCTGCCTTGGGCTCAGAGAGAGGGTGCGCAGGCGCAGTGACGGGGGGAGAGGGACAGTTTCGCTGAGGAGAGGTGGAGGACGCTGGGTGCCTGCCGGTGCCGGGGTGAGTCTGTGGGGGCAGGTGGTGGCGGGCGCGCGGGCTGTCTCTGGGCTGGGCCCGGGTGCAGCCCGCGGTGGGGAGAGGCCCGGCTGGGGGCAGCGAGCAGAGCCTCCCCGGACACAGGGCGTGGGGCGGGGTGCCCCGAGCCGCGCCGCCGGTGCGGGTCTCGCGGAGGCGCCGCGCGCCCCGCAAGCCGGGCGCGAGGCTGCTCTACTCGGGGTGTCCCTAGGAGCAGGGGAAGGTTTGGTCCAAGGGTCTCTGGCAGCGTCACAGCTCCACGCCCCGGGAAACTTCCTCCTTCCTTTGTCGCTGCGCTCAGCGCCCCCGCCCCCGGGATTCCCTGCCGCGCTGCTTTATCTGCCTCCTGACTTGAAAGGCTCATTAGCGTCCCACCAAGGGAAACCCCCTCCTGAAACTCGCTGTCCTCGGGCTCTGGGAACAGCAACTTTCCCACTCTCTCCTCCCACCCCTACCCATTGCTCTGCGGCTTGCATTGTAATTTGCTCTGTTAGAACATGCAGCCTTCGAGAGCCTTGGGGTGGTTTCTCGTTTCTTAAGCCATTCTGTCCATCTCCCCGCCCCTGATATGTTCTGGCTTGGGGCCTTGGTCTGTTGCTTTGAGATCTCCAGCCGAGTTTTGTTAACTATCGGAAAATAAATGCCCTGTCTGAAAACTTTCTTCATTCGTGTTGATGTTGATTAAGTATTCGATAATCAATCAAGATATTTGCAAACAAAGGTTTGGTGTTCCAGGAATCATGATCACGTCTCACCCACACCTGCATTCTAAATCAATAGATTGGAAGTGTACTGCTTTTCTGTGTTAGTCTTGGAAGCATATGTTTGTAAAACAGTTTTACTTAAAAATGTAATAGAATAATCATCACAGGTCACCTGCAGAAGGGAGAAAAAAATAGGCTAGTACCCTGTTTAGCGTTTTTCTGAGGTATAAAGAAGAACTTGAAATGGCTTTTGCCAAAAAAAAAAAAAAAAAGTCTGTGGGGTGACTTTTTTTTTAATGTTTGTGGGTTTTTTTTTTTTTACATTAGAAGTGTCTGACTCTTTCATTATATTCTAAAATTCTTGGTGTTTTAAAATAACATCTATTTAGCTTAGTAACCGTTTGGCGAAGGGAAGCCTTTGTTAAAAATTCAGCTTCCCCCCACCCCCTTCCTCAATCCCTTCAAGTGAAGTATGCAAGCTAACAATGTATGTTTTCTGAGACCCCGAGCCACTCCTCCACCAAAACCATGGAAAGGGCACATCACAATTTTTTAATCTTCTTCAGATCATCTTTAATATATGTGAGTATCAGTATTGCACTTAGCTTTCTTATTGTTTTGAAGACATGAATTCAAACATTTATTTTTCTATCTTCCCAAGTAGCAGGTATGTGTTAACCTTTCTATATCAGCAGTCTGACTGATCATATAAAATAGCTACAATTTATACTTTAAAAAGTTGGCCTGCAGAATCAGAGCTCTCTCTTTCTCTCCTCAGCTTTGACACAACTCTCTAAATTGTTTTGTACGTGTTCTGTAACTTAAAAACTGTGCTTATAAATAATTTTTAGAAAGCTACTTGCCAAGGAATGCTTTTCTGGCATACCTATGTTTAACAAAATGATATGTACTATATGGAGTGTTAATGTAGAAATCTTCCGGTAATGAAAACTGCATGTCTCATGAGGCTGTGTTCAAACAGGAAATAGGCCCATTATAAAGATATGTTTACGTCAAGGCATGTAACTTGAATGACAAGGTTCAGTGGGCCCCTTTGCAGTGTAAATGTGCATATACTTGTCTGTTTCCGTGTGCTCTGAGATTCTCATGAACAAGCTTGCTGTGTTGGCCTCTGAAAGGTAAACTGTGACCTAATGTATTCTAAAACATGGTGTTAAGTTCTTTAAGCTAGAAAAATTAACTCTAGAGGAAGGCAGAAACAAATATTTTAAAAATATATATTTTTAAATAATTGCCATGTTATCAGCAGTGGCAAAGTTAGAAGATAGTTGGGTAATCCCGAAATGTAATTTAAAACAGGAAAATAGCGAGTAGGCTATTTCAGTAAAAAATTCAGATCATAGATATTCAAACAGCTGTGTTTACAATACCCTGTTGCAGTAGAGACAAGAAAAGAAATAGTATCTGGGGAAACAACAATTATTCTATCTGGGGTAATTTCACGTTAATATGCCTTAACGCAAATTTACTTTAACACAGTTAATGTATCCTATACAATTACATTTTGCTAACTGATTGTGTATATAGATTTTTGATACACAGAAGCTTTAATGGGATGAATGATTTGGCATGGACTAGTCCTTCAGAACTTGGAAGGCTTGGTCTTTTGCTTTTCTTTCCATTGTTAGACTACCAAGTATGTGGGATGAATTTAAAATAGTTTGGTAACTGCTAAAACTTGTTTTGATATTCTAGATGAAAAGATAAAAGGGGAGCATCTTAAAGTGAATTTTTCCTTTCCCCTTTTTGTTTCAGGCCATGAGTGGGTTGTCACTGCTAAATAAGCAAAAAAGGGAGAAATTATGTTGCATTCTATCTGGAAAATTAAAACTAAAGCATACTTTGTCTCTTCTGTTTTTCTTAGAGGATAACAAATCACTTTTGAAAATGCTACATGTGTGCAGTGTATGAGCAGGAAGTCCTTAAGTGTACACACACCTGTAACCTTAGCAAGTGATTTCTGCCACAGGCGCTCTTACCTCCCCAGGGCAGTTGATAACTGCAGGATTGTAGCTAGTTTGAATTAGTGTGTGTTAAGGCTTTTTTATTATTCTGGTATGCTTATCTTTCTGTTCTCCAGTTCAAGGTCTGGCATTTATCTACGATCGTAATACCTGCCCTTCTGCTAGAAAGGCTTACAAATCTGGAAATGCCTTTAAGCTGGTTGTGCTGAAGAGCACAGCTCATTCACCTGCTGTCCCCAGAAGCTCTGTGTCATTGCTACAGTGCTTTCAGCCCAATAAATGAAAAACCCAGTGTTCTTGAATCAGTCTCCTGTGGGAAATTTCATAATGTTATCTACTAGGTTATTTTGCTGTTCAGTCCTATTTGTATGATTCTATGGAATGGGTGATTGCATTTTTAAGAAATAAGCATCCAGGTATAGGATCTTATTGGACAAGATTATCTGGAATAATGTAGCCATCTTTTAAAACAACCCAGTACTGTGCTCACTCTGCATCTTTGTTAATGCTATGTATTTATGGACTAAAAGTATAAGCACAAAAAGTAAACACTGCTAAGCTGAAAAGAGTCAATAGCTCTTACTGATGTAGAGGGAAAAAATTGCAGGTATTGGGCAATATAGATTCTTCCAAATGTAATCTTTGGTGGAAACATTTTTTCTTTGCAGGTATATGGAGATGCAAAACTGTAACATCTGAGTTTGTGATTATGTATTAGGGATTCCAGTTGCCCACAAAGGCATCTTAATTTGACCAGAAAAGTGCTCTTGGTTGATTGCGATCATTTGACAGGACAATTGGCATAATGTATATAAGTTTCATTATAAGGTGAACTACATTTTCTCCAACTATATCAAAATTTACAGTGAGAAAAATCTACAACTTGCACTGTAGAAAAACTAGAGTGGTATAACCCAAGATGGGAATCCATCTAATGTAGTGGTCCCCAGTGCGGTTCCTGCGGGTGCCATGGTGCCCGCCGGGGCATTTATGTGCGCCCGCCTAGTGCCCAGCAGGGGAGAGAAGCTGCGGCCCCGTGCCTGACGGGGATAGAGAACTCCGGGGCTGCAGGCTGTGGGCGCTGGTGTTCTTGGTCCCTGGCAGGCACGGGGCCGGGGCTTAAGCCGGAGAGAAGCCGCGGCCCCGCACCTGCCGGGGACAGAGAACTCCGGGGCTGCAGGCGCCAGTGTTCTCTGTCCCCGGCAGGCGCGGGGCCCGCCTAATGCCCAGCAGGGGAGAGAAGCCGGGGCCCCGCGCCTGCTGGGGACAGAGTACTCCGGGGCTGCGGGTGCCGGTGTTCTCTGTCCTCGCAGCTTCTCTCTGGATTCGTATATTATGTAATATTATATATGATGTTTTTCGTATTATTTAATGTACCAATACAGAATAAGCCTTGAAAAATTGTTGGCGCCCGCCACACTCTTCTGAAAACATGAATGTGCTACTGGCCACAAAAAGGTTGGGGACCACTGATCTAATGGATATATAACTCTTTAGGACTGGATTGGTTATGAAGAGAAAATGATTGCCATTTCGGGGCCAAGCACATGAAACGATTTGGTGGTGTCAGCTTAGTTCTTAGTAGTAGGTGGCCCTATCACAAAATTACCATAACTCTCCAAAAATGGTACTCTAATTGGATGATTCAGCAGAAATGCCAAGGTTTGAATGGCTGTAAATCAGTGGTCACCAACTGGTACATCATGATCGACTGGTCGATCCTGGAGCCTCTGCCAGTCGATCGCAATCTCTGTCTGCTAAAAGTCCAGCGGGGCTAAGGCAGGGGCCCCACGCTGCTCTGGGAAGCAGCCAGCACACCCCTGAGGTCCTGGGGGAGGGGCAGGCATCTCTGCACACTGCTCCTGCCTGCAAGCACTGCCCTCGCAGCTCCCGTTGGCCGGGAACGGGGAACTGGGGCCAATGGGAGCTCTGGGGATGGTACCTGCAGAGAGGGGCAGCGGGCAGAGCCATGTGCACCTCATCCCCTCCTTCCTCCCCCACCCCTCCCAGGGGCTGCAGGGGTGTGCTGGCCGCTTCTAGGAGCGGTGTGGGGCGGGGCAGGCAGGGAGCTTGCCTTAGCCCTGCTGTGCCGCCGTCCGAGCTAAGCACCAACTGGTGGAAACCTGCATCCCGCCCGCCCCCCGCCCCGAGCCCCCTCCTGGAGCCAGCACCCCAAATCCCCTCCTGCTCCTCAACACTCTGCCCCAGCCTGGAGCCCCCTCCTGCATCCATGCCCCCGGCTCAGCCCAGAGCCCCCTTCCACATGCCGAACCCCTCAGCCCCAGCCTGGAGCCCACAGCCCTTCCTGCACCATAACCACCTGCCCCAGCCTGGTGAAAGTGAGTGAGGGTGGGGGAGGGTGAGCGATGGAGGGAGGGGATCAGGGCCTCAGGGAAGGGATGAGGTAAATCCTGAGTTGCACTTAAATTCAAAAAGTGATCTTGTGCCTAAAAAAGGTTGGAGACCACTGCTCTAAGTAGTAGTGCGTAGTACTATTAATGAGGGATCCCACAATGAGAATCTAAAACTAAGAATGTGGTGGTATTCATATTGCCTTTGTCACTTTAAAATAGACTTCTTATTTCTTCTAGTTTTGGTAAATGAAGATAAGTTGTTAAGTCTTGTTTAAAGAGAATGTGGGGTTCATAAATGGTTACGTGTATTCTTGTACATTGAGAGTTAAAGTTGCTGGCATTGTAAGACTTCCTTTGGGGAAAACTTTAGATTAGGCTCCATTAAGCAGCTGGAACTGTTTCAGTCTCTGATTGATGGTGGAATGCTGATAAAATCTGCCCGTAGACCCTCCTCTCCCTGCCAATTTAGATTCATCCGGGAGCTGATTGGAAGAAGACTCTGGAGTAACAAATGAGGGTAAAGTGAACTCTGTAAGCTTGCTGGCAAAAAACAGCTCCATTTGTTTTTATGATGTCACTTCTATTTTAAAATCTGAAAAAAAAAAAAAAAAAAACCATTTTAGTGACTTCAGTAAAGCTTAAGATTTCAGTTTCAACTCTCCCTCACAAAACTATGATTAGAGAAGTATTAAGGCCCTGAGAAACTGTCCTTAAAGGTACTGGAGGTAAATTTCTCAGGGATGTCTTTGAAGGAAAAATAAAAAAATTAGGTCTTGTTAAGCATTCAGTTCCAATCCACACTTTAAGAGAACACACTTACAGAATAATTCAGGTGTTGAGGTGAGATGTATGAAAGTAGCTGAACAGTCCTTCAGAGATTGATGATTCAGCTAATATAAGCAGTATAACATAAGAATATTTCTCTCCAGTGCTTTTATTTCTGTTGTTGCTCATCATTTTCCCAGGCAGCAGCAGAGTGACCTGATTCCTGTTTTTTTCACTCCTGTCCATAGTGTTCTAACCAGTCTCGTGTTTTAACTCTCCTGATGCTTAATAAACCTAGGACTAGCAGAGGAGACATTGGCGTTGTTTGAATGCAGACTGGGACAGCACTGCATTAATTCATATTTGGAATGTAATACTTTTAGTGATGACTGCTAAAAACTATTTTTAAATGAAAGGTCAAATTTATCAAAAAATCATGGCTTTGTCCTCCTCCCTCCCTTGCACCCCCCCCTTAATA